TGTAATTGAAAAATGAAAAATATTCAGGTGATGATATATAATTTGACATCCACACAAGCACTTGAAAAATTGTATGCCCTACTTGTGAAAAAAATTAATGTAGGCTACATTTTAATCGTGATCTAATAACATTGAATGTGAATTATGGCGATACAATATTTAGGTTTGGTAAAACGTTTAGTTACAACATATACAAGAATATATGTTTTATCGTTGAAAAATATTAGGGGGGAATCTTTGTAACTTTCTGAAATTAGATGATTTACATTTAAAAATTATAAACCTAGTATAATTAGGATGACACTAATCTAAAAAAACATCCTGTTAAAAAATTGATATAGTGTGGCAAGGATTTAACAAACATTTTTCTGGGAAAATATAACGTTCTGAAACTAACTGACTACTTTCGGTGATGACCATGTAACTTTGTCCAGGGAGGTTTTTTATCCTGGGAAATAGAAAAAAATCATGATATTATGGTTAGGATTCCATATGTATCAGGTAGGAAAATTTATATGTCTTAATTTGCTTTGTTTTGGGTATATGTATGCTGTGCTAAATTGAGCAGAGAAATTAAGTCATTATGTATCATATTTTGTAAAAAAACCGCACTAGAAATCCTGTTTGATTGAGCGAAAAGTCGTGCAAAGGTTCTTTAAGCAAATGTGCAAATAAAGATAGTAGAATTTTTGATTGGTTACGTTTAGGTTTGCAATCACCATTAGGTGTAAAATTTCTGTTCCAGTAGGGCATGAGTTTGAAGTTTGTTAACCTATTTCAATTGAAATAACCTAAAAAAAGTATTGAAGTAGTCAATTCTCATAGCTTGCAAATTTAATAGTTTATTTTATTCCTGCTAGTCCCGAAAGTGTCACATTTTGGGACAAGATAGTGGTTATGGTGGCAAAAGTTTGTTTGGAAGAGGAAAAGTCATGTTTATGACAGGAAAATGTATAGATTGAAAAACTGTTTCCGAATAAATCAGCTGTATGGAAAAGAGCTATTTTCGTACATAGAGTGATGACAAATATAGTTTAAAATATTCCAACACACACTTTCATCAATACTATGTGGTAAAACACTATACTCTTACGATAAACACTATTAAATCTTTCCGACATGTAGGGGTCTACATTTTAAAATTAACCAACGCCCAAACAATAAAATAGATTTGTAACTTCCTCCAAAAACAAAACATTTACCATGTTTGTACAAATCATGCATTATCTACCACCCTATCGAGATTGGTCGATCTTGAAAATGGCGCTAGAGCAAATACGAAGTGTAAACACTTAGTAGATAAGAGATAGGCTAATTGAAAATATCAAGTCAGACATTAGGCGGTCCCTACAAAGTGTTTATCAGGACAAGGTGTCTTCTGATAACAGATAACAATGAGTGACAACAGACTGGCCGACTCGTCACTCGTCATATCATACACTAGGTATAGGGAATTGTACAAGAAGAGAAAAGTTTTTGGATGGAGAAGTTAGAAAATTGATTCAATTAGATCGTAATTCATTTTTCTTTTTGAATGAAACTTTTCAACCTGCGTTAAATTTAATTGCAGAGTCGTCATTTCTTGTTGTTACTACTAGGAGTCGCAAATAATTTGTTTGTTAAAAAAAAAATGATAATAAGAAAGTCACAACATTTTCGAAGTGAAATTGTTAGCAGATCGATTCAGATGTATTGTGAAAATTATCGTACCACATTACTACAGAATAATAAAACCTACTTACTTTACTGCCTTGTTTATTTTTTAGACAGAAAACACTTTTACGGACAAAACAGCAGTTTTATACAATAAATACTAAAAAAATACTACATACAAACCAATGATTGGAAAAGTTTCTTAAGAAACTAGCATTAAAGTCAACTTCAAAAACATCAAATATATTTTTCTTACTATTTTTTGAAATGATAATCAAGCCATGCTGCCGCATCTAATACATAAATATAGTTATTTCAAAGATAAAAATTTATGTTTTAATCTCCTAATATGGTACGATGAATGAAAGTCCTGAAAATCCTGAAATGAAAGTCCCAACCTCGTATTTCTGAAAATGTCCTCTCAACCACAACATGAAAAATATATTTCTTCTCTATTACACAATTTAAAAAAAAATAAATAACCAATGACCTTCTATATCAATAAACTCCATATTTAAAATAATATATAGGGCTACACACTGCTTCGAAAGGTTACCCAGAATAATTAAACTTTCGTTTTATGAAGGCGTAAAAATACATCCGATTTGTATCCAAGGTTTCGCAGTCAAGAACATTTCGTTCCAAAAACAAAAACAACCATTATTTCGTCTGCTAATTGGTTTTAGATTAACTAAGTTAGTTAGAGAGATAACCTACAAACATGAAAACATGCCTTGACCAATAACGATTGTTGTAACAGGTCTAAGGAATAATGATACACAAACTTTTAAAGCACATTCAACATTCAACTAATCTTCGTCAAATATATTCTCGTATTAAGAAGTAAATAAAGTTCTAGATGAAACTATTTCTTCTAACAATTTAAAACTATTTACTGTAAAATTATTTATATTTTCATTCATTATAATTCATTCCCTAAGTCAAGACCTTCAAAAAATAGTTTATATTTTTTGTATTCTTTATGTTGCTAAGAAGTATATATTATATATTACCATAAAATAGAACCATCTCATACTTATAATCTACAAGACTACCGGTAATTTAAAGTGACAATTTATAAACATTTTGAATTTCAGAAATTCTGTATCCAAAGAATCTTATATTGAATTAAGCCATACATATGGTAAGACAGCTATTTTTATTCACAGGTATTTTTATCTTTTACAATGGTTAGTTACATTTACATTTATTTTAGTTTTAAGAAAAATTGTAACGTTAAGTATGAGTAATTTATTGCTATTGACCATGTACAGAAGGAATAGGTAAGTTACGAAATATCCCCTAAATATTTAAGTAGGATATGAGAAATTGGAATTCTTTTATGGTGATGTGTATTGCCGTTGACTGTATGCGTTGTGCCTTTTTTTAAGCGAAATTGCAGGAAAAATAACTTTTAATTAAAATAAAAAAGGCCAAATAATGACATTCTTTAAGGATACAAAAAAATCTTTCATTCCCATATATACTACCCTACAGAAAACAAAAAGTATCTTAGTTAATTATTGTGCTACGACTCATATTATTATTTGATAAAAAGATATTACGTTTGTTTTATTATTGTGTTTTTAAACTAACTAGAGGTCGTCCCGTGATCGAAAACTTGACAAAAATATGTACTGCGCAAAATTCTCTAATTTTACCCCACACTGAAAATAAAACATGTGATTGGAATCTCTTCCATTTGTTTTGATTTTCTGTTTATATTTCGTTATTATTTCGTCACCACCATGGCAACCCATAAGGCTCATGTAATTTTTTTTAAATTTTAAATGATTTTTTGTATTTATTTTTGAGCCTATTTAAATTTTTCAAAGGATTCTGTACATCTACAGGAAAATATATTTCTAAAAGTATGCACAGATTTACCCTGCGATGCACACGAACTGAGAAAAAAGGTTTTAGAGAAACATGCTTGCCTATTTATATATAGATAACGAGATCATAGATATTGCTTTTATTTTAATAAGTAGACCTACAGGAAATCATGAACCTAGTTTTAGATTTATTAGACGATTTGAATTCAACTAGGATAAGGGCACTCCGTAGGCTATATCTTGAGATATAGGCACTTAAAACCATTTACAGTAACCACACAATTACGTTTTGCAAAATACAAATGCTCAAGAAATAGAATACATAACTCAAAACGCCCCGTGGCGTATGAGTGTGCATTTACTGCATCCAGTATTATTTTTTGAAGAATAATATGTGTGGATCATCAATTTTTGTAGGGTCACAAGCAACTCCTTATTGTACTATGTATTTTGGTTCATAACATCTGTGTTTTTTGAAGTAGAACACGGCACTTAAAAATGTTTCGTTGACCTATCCTTTGACACGGGCGGCTTTGATTTTTTCTTCGTCGGTTTCCATTCCTTCACCTTAGCAAAAGTTCTTTACAAAATGTATACCACCTTGAATATCCAGACTATCTATAATTCTGCACTCTATGATGCACCTAATTTAGAGTTCCAAAAAACCTAATGGAACTTGTACAAAATTTGCATTGCCGCTGAAATTATATTATGCCTAACCTAACCGCCCAAGTTTCTAACGTTTCTTATAGGTACTGTAAAGGTTATTCCTCTTTTTCCAATCATGCCTATCCAAAAATGAAGATTTTAATTTTTTATGCTTAGCCTACTGAATATCTTTCTCAGCAAGACTTCACCACGAATCCTTTGACATGGCCCGTCCTCAAACAGTTTTTCTTCGTCGGTTTCTATTCTTTAACCAAATTATTAGAAATTGTTTAGCTACTGAATATTGCTACCTCCTCAGCAATATTTCATACAGAATCCTGTCCAAGGGGAGTTCCTAAAGAGGGTTTCTTCGTTGGTTTCTATTACTTTACCTGAGCTCAGGCACTTCACTAAATACCTTGAATCCCCCCCCCCATCACTTTGCTTATTCGAATTTACTCTGAACCTAACTTCTCATCCGATATAGGTACTATTCTTTCATCTAGCTAGAAGTATTTCCTCACCCCCATCCTAATGTCTCACAGCCCTAAGTTCTGATTCTGCGCTCTATAAAGCACTACCTGTATAATTCTTTTATTGAACCTAACCACTTATCATATCAGTTCTTAAACTTTGTTTATATAAATATCCCCTCACTATATACCGGTACTCATCCTACTGCCATAGAGAGATTTCTTACCGAACTCCCTAACAGTCTTTCTTCGTCGGTTTCTATTCTCCCAACATTGTCCTTCCTCGGCTATACCCTAATCATGCGAATTTTCTCCAAGCCTAACCTACTCTATCTAGTGCTATTCCCTGACTACGTCTATCCTACTCTGCAAGACTTCCTACCGTACTCACTGTTCGGGCCGGGGTCCGAGTCCAGCTCGGCTTTGACCGGAGACATCTTGATGCCCCTCTGGTTCAGGTTGACTACCAGGGACGGCACCACCCTGTGGTGTAGGTGGTCGCTCGCCAGGGCGAAGGCCGGTGTCGGACAACAAGTGCACAGTTCTGACCGGGCCCAGCAATGGCCGAGGCACCTCGCTCTATCCACCATACGCACGCACAGCCACGCACGTCCGCACTACTTCACGTCCGGCGAGTCACTGAGGCAACGCCGCGTCGCCGTCGGCGCATGCGTAGTCAAGCCACGCCCCCGCCCTCTGATTGGTCCGAGCCGCGCCGCATCGACCCGCGAGAAGAGAGGGAGAAAATGGCTCCCTCGATCGATTCTCCCGAACTGCCCTAGGTGGGAATTTTTCGGAAAACATTTTCATTGAGAATAAAGGGTTGTGCACTTTTTTGCGAAATGAATTGTGCAGTGGTTAAATAGAATGATAATTTTGAAGTTTATTGTTTTAAACACGTAGACCTACAATACCCTAGTCTTTGTTTTAACATGATAGCAAAATCTTAACAATCTAAAAAGAATTTTGATTAAACAAATCAAACAATTGTATACTGTATAGGTCCTTACCAAACGTTCTTGGAAAAAACAAAGTTTATAGTTTCGCACACAAAGCTGTATTCGCTGTGTTCGCTGGTTTTATCACTCTCGCTACGTTACTAAATCTTACGTAAAAATAGTACGCCTACCATGAAAATTGTCATCAATAGAATTACTGTATTCTGAATTTATCCCTTCCCTACTATAATTGTAATCCTTTTACAACCGATAAAATTTTCATTACAATAATTTTTTTATGATACCGTGAGTACTGTAAGTATTTCGAAAACGCCCCTCTTTCACAGACGAAGTCCTTGTATAAACTGCAATACCCTCTGTTGACCAAACTTCAGATTTTTAGAAACATATACAGTTACAGTACAGTTGCTATTTGATATTTATTACGGTTTTCAAACATTTTGTTATTTCACTTGTGGAACTAGATTATTCACGTTACAAAATAAGTGTACATCTACATAATTTGTATAATGTTTGGGAGGAGATGGGGCACACTAAAAAATATGTTTAAACCGAAAAAGAACAGTAACGGTAATAGCAAAAACAAAGTTGAAACAAAAAAAAACCAGGAGCCAGGGCAAAAAACGTGGATTGTAGCAGAACCAAAATAGGGAGATGGATAGGCCTACAAAATATACGTATAAATAGAGGGAAATATACATAATCAATTCATGAAGAAATTAAAAGGATTACGTGCAAAGTAGAAGAAGAAGAATAATAAATAGAAGAAATATACATAAAGTTCAATTTATAAAGATAAGAAAGAAATGGGTTTCCTTATATACAGAGTAGAAGAAGTAGAAGAAAAATAAATAGAAGAAAATGTACATAAAGTTCAAATCATAAAGAAAAAAATAGATTTCTGTATATACAAAGTAGAAGAAGAATAATAAAAAGAAGAAAATATAAATAAATTCAATTCATGAAGAAATTAATAGCTTTATGTGCAAAGTAGTAGAAGAAGAACAAATAGAAGATTATGTAGGCCTACATAAAGTTCAATTCCTAAAGAAAGAAATAGGTTTCCCTATGTACGAAGTAGAAGAAGAATAGTAAAAAGAAGAAAATATAAATAAGTTCAATTCATGAAGAAACTAATAAGTTTATGTGCAAAGTAGAAGAAGAATAATAAAAAGAAGAAAATATAAATAAGTTCAATTCATGAAGGAATTAATAGGTTTATGCGCAAAGTATAAGGAGAAGAATAAATAGAAGAAAATGTACATCAAGTTCAATTCCTAAAAAAGCAATAGGTTTCCCAACGTACAAAGAAGAAGAAGAAGAATAAAATATGAAAATATACATAAGTTCTATTCATAAATAAAATAATAGGTTTAGCCTACTGTATATACAAAGTAGAAGTAGAATAAAACCTAAACTTTGTGGTGTATATTCCATTTGTTAAGTGTGTTTAATATAAAATATCCTTACAGATGCTATTTCTCCAAATAAAATATCCATTAATTAACCAGTTTCATGATTGTTGAATCATCCAACTCCAGTAATAAAAAGAGTAAATCCTCAATCAATCTACATTTTAAGAAAGATTTTTGTTCATAAAAATCTGCTCAATTCACGTGTACAAAAACGTGTCGAGGAACTTACCCAGTGGCTATTTTGACAAGAGAAATCATTTTTGACAGAATAAACAAAAACAAGCCATTAGGAACCTTTTAAGTGATGGTCTATATTTTCATAAATATGGTTCTGGAAAATTACAAACACAAACAACAGATTTACTTGGAAATACACTTATTTCTGCGAATCTATAGTTCGGGTAGTTGGTTGATTTTTATTTTATATTATAAAATGTGTTTATTTATCAATGTGTGTTTGCTATACTTTTTGGTTTCATTCTAAAGTAAAACAGCTATTTTGGATATTTAAATTTTTACACAGCATAGGGGAAAGGGCGAGAGAAATAATCCTATAAGAAGTAATACAAAAATGAACTAATAAGAAGAAATAGTGAGTAAATAGTGAGTAAGTAGGTTAGAATTTATGTTGGTTTATTTTAAATAAATGTAATTTTTCATGAAATCTTGAGACATCTACCACGTTAATTAATTCGTGGAAAATTATGTCTAGTAGAACATAAAACATAATTCAATCGCTCATGTAGTTCATTTTCGTGTAGTTCTACCTTCACAATATAAATTACACATACTGTACTTTGAAGTTTGAACTGCACAAAACATCTCTCCTTCGAGTACTCTAACCACAAAGATTCTGCGCCGGAGGAACCGTTCCAGAAAAAGTCCTCTCTAAATTGTGTTCATTTTACAACACATCGTTTCATCGAATCCTTTGTCTCATATTCAGCGTATGTAACTGAATGTACATGAGAGGGATGGAGTGCGCTGTTTTGAGCCAGTCTACCCCCTAATGTCCAGTCGATGAGTTAAAGACATGCGCCCAGGCGCGCAGACCCCCATCCCTTCTCCCTGCGCCTAGGCGCGCGCATCCTCGCACCCGACACAACCGTGATATCTGTTATCAGCTGTACTAGGTACTTGGTTGAATGCGTGTAACGTGTAACTGCGCAGCAAATACTTCGTTGGTTTTACAACTTAGTTTACATCACATAGAGTGTTTGATGAACAGAAATGGATATATTAGATATAAATGGAAACTGAAAAGAGCGAGAATGTCTGTAGCATATGTAAAAATCACCATATTTTGGAGTAGCCTACATCAATATAAATTACTTAAAATATCAAAAGCGATTTCAAGCAAAACGACAGTGTAACACAATTATTTAAAATATGAAAAATACTTATATTTTAAAAGCAAACGTCAAATGATAAACATATAAATACGCCCAAAAAAGGCTAAACGAAAGATACTAAAATGAAACCAGAAAATTAAAAAATACAAAAAATTGTAAATAATTAGTGTTACTAACTTTTGAATTTATAACTTTTTCTTGGGAATACGGTTTCTCAGACGTACCAAAGAAAGTCTATGATTTAGTACAGTAGTAGGACTATTGTTTCATGTAGTATTTAAGTGTATTATATCGTGTTCGTTTTGCGTAGGGGAAGGGATTTCGCATAGAATAGATGCTAGAGCAGCGACCACAAGAGAACCCGTAAAGTATTTGGTTATGCTAATTATAATAACAGTTGTTGAATAAATGGTTAAACAACTTACTTACTTGATGGAATACGTGAAATGTTTACAAAATCAGACATCTATATATTGATCACTTAGTGGATGTGACATAGTTGTTGAAATAATGGAGGTTAATTTAGCTCCTCTATAACCAAAGAGAAAAGAATTGATAAGGTTGCCAACGACACAGAAAATAGTCCACACTTAAAATACTGATTATCTTTATGTTTGCCAAACAAAAGTATTTAAAAAGGATCCGTCCAAATAATATTATTTACAAAAGTTCACAAAAAATGTTGATAATGTTCCTCTAGAACTAATAAACAAACCAATCACCTCGAATTTCTAAATTTTGCTTGAAATATTGAAAGGAATATTCATAAATGTGTTTCATTTCTAGATTGACTTCATTAGGTCGATTTCATAAAGAATCGTTGAGGCAAGAATTATCACTTTGTTCGTTTGTTTTTTAATTATCAAAATTAATCATCTTGAGCTATACCGCCAGAGGAATTACTTGAGAGGTGACTACGTTCGTATGAGTGTATGTTTGTGTGAGGGTAGCTACCCCCTTGATCTACTGTAGCATGCTACAGTTTGTGTATATGTTTTTGTAAGGGTAGCTACCCTCATAGTCTTGACGTAGCATGCTGCAGTATGAGTGTATGTTTGTATAAGGGTAGCTACCCTCATATTCTACCGTAGCATGCTGCAGTATGTTTGTATGTTTTTGAAAGGGTAGCTACCCCCTTGATCTACTGTAGCATGCTACAGTTTGTGTATATGTTTTTGTAAGGGTAGCTACCCTCTTGATCTACTGTAGCATGCTACAGTTTGTGTATATGTTTTTGTAAGGGTAGCTACCCCCTTGATCTACTGTAGCATGCTACAGTTTGTGTATATGTTTTTGTAAGGGTAGCTACCCTCATAGTCTTGACGTAGCATGCTGCAGTATGAGTGTATGTTTGTATAAGGGTAGCTACCCTCATATTCTACCGTAGCAGCTGCAGTATGTTTGTATGTTTTTGTAAGGGTAGCTACCCTCATAGTCTACCGTAGCATGCTGCAGTATGAGTGTATGTTTGTGTGAGGGTAGCTACCCCCTTGATCTACTGTAGCATGCTACAGTTTGTGTATATGTTTTTGTAAGGGTAGCTACCCCCTTGATCTACTGTAGCATGCTACAGTTTGTGTATATGTTTTTGTAAGGGTAGCTACCCCCTTGATCTACTGTAGCATGCTACAGTTTGTGTATATGTTTTTGTAAGGGTAGCTACCCTCATAGTCTTGACGTAGCATGCTGCAGTATGAGTGTATGTTTGTATAAGGGTAGCTACCCTCATATTCTACCGTAGCATGCTGCAGTATGTTTGTATGTTTGTGTAAGGGTAGCTACACCCCATGGTCTATCGTAGCATGCTGCAGTTTTGTGTGTATGTTTGTATAAGGGTAGCTACCCTCATAGTCTACCGTAGCATGCTGCAGTATGTTTGTATAAGGGTAGCTACCCTCATAGTCTACCGTAGTATGCTGCAGTATGTTTGTGTAAGGGTAGCTACCCCCATAGTCTATTGTAGCATTCTGCAGTATGTATGTTTGTGTAAGGGTAGCTACCCCCATAGTCCATCGTAGCATTCTGCAGTATGTATGTTTGTGTAAGGGTAGCTAC